ATTGCCCCCCCCCCGCGAGCTGGGTACTCATTTTACCGACCTCGGAAGGATAGAAGGCTGAGTCAACCTTGAGCCGGCTACCTGGGATTTGAACCCCAGGTTGTGAGCACAGTTTTAGCTGCAGTATAGCGGTTTTAACCACTGCGCCATGAGGGTCCTATAAGGTTTATCCAGCTGTGTTAATTATGTTGAATGGATTCTTGGTTCTAGTCTTCACAAACACGAATCCTTCTTCTCCTCTCCAACTTCTCATGTCCAGCACATTTTTCTCCCCCTAAACACAAAACTAGCACTCTCTCCATAGCTCTCCTGCTGACAAATGGCTTGTTACATCAGCCTATTTCCTTTGTTTGTCTTCAGATTTCCAGCAGAATTTGATGGAGAACATAAAAACCTTTGTTCTAGATAAGCGGGGTAGAAATCCAATAAATAAATAAATAAAACCCACTATTTTCTTCATCAGAGGACACACTGCTAGATTAACCTTGAGATGGGTCATAACATACACAGACACTGACCTGAGGGCAATAAAATAACAGTCTTCTCTGCCATCTCATTCTGCCCACTAGGCTTGCACCCCTTCACACGTTTCCAAGCCAGGGATACATTTGTTCCAGGAGTACCCGACTGAGACAATAACGTGCCCTTTAAACAGAAACACACACACAATTACAGAGGAAAAGTCAATTTACTGTAATCACAGTTATCGCACACAAGTACTGTATGGCAATGAGAAGAAGCGGCCTGCTGTGTGAAAATTGCTGTCATTCAAAACGCAAGTGTTCCGAAGAGAAGAAAATGCTTGGCAGCAGGAAAACATCTCTTGGGCAGAGTACACTATAATTGAATCGATTTGTAGAAAAGCAAATCCAATTTATTTTGGTAGGACTTAGTTGAAGGAGAGAAGAGAAGAACATGGACCACCGGGCTATCAGGCAGTTTCTCACAGACCACTTTCCAACTGCAAATGATTATTACTTGACAAACCACAGAATAACATTTCAACCTGATTCCTGGGTCTTGTTCATCTGAGCCTCAGACAGCTCCCCTATGCAAATAGGCCAAAGGCGGAGACAAAAATGCAGAAATAATCCCGTGTGTTTAAAAGGCTTGCTTCAAACTAATAATCTCTCAGTATTTATTTTATTTATTTATTTATTTGATTTTTACCCCACCCCTCTAGACCATGTCTACTCGGGGCGGCTATCTGTATTCCTCCCTGTAAAATGTCATGGGTCACATTTTTGTGCAGTCTTGCTAGTAAGGATTTGGTGTTCAAACCTCTGATCATTATTAATTAAATATAATTTATTTTTGCAAACTTCTTTTACCCAGTTCATGGGATACAACAGCTAATTCCGCAGTTGTTCACTTGCATGCAATTGTGCCTTCATTGACCCAAATAACAGAGCTGGAATTTTACGAAGGAGGCTCCATAGCATCAGTTTCATCCTCAATTCAGACGGAAAGAGGACCATGAAGATGTGCATAGGTAATTGCTGGAAGGGGGGCATTTGCCAGATCTTGCTGGTGAATTAAAAATGGCTGGGTAGAATTCCCCCCTCAACTTTTATAATACTAGAATACTAGAGTCATCCACCAAAATAGAATGGTGGGAGATTTGGGATGGACAGAAGAAAGCATTTCACCCAGTACATGGTGAAAAATTGGGCTTTGCTTGTATTAGATGCTGCAATGGCCGCTAAGTTCAATGGTGACAAAAGAGAATTAGAGAAATTCATGGCACATGAGGCTGTCAGTGGCTACTGATCACAACGGAATGTATATTATATCAGTATCCGAGGCACTGTGTCTCAGAGCACCACTGATGCAGACCACAAGCAGTCCTGCTTGTAGAACTCTGCAGGCATCTCACTGGCCACTGGGAGAGAAGAATGCTGAACAAGGCAGATCTCTAGTCAAACTTTACTCATGTTCGCTCTTCAACTTTTAAAAAGCAACTTTCAGGAAGGACGTTAATTTTTGTGTGCATGCACAAACTCCTTCTACCATCCAAACCACATATGTTCCATGTATTTTAAAGCTACTTCAGCAGGGTGCTACGAGATTTAGTAGACAGCCAGAGCACTCACATTGTCATAGAATCTGGAAAAAAATTAAAGATAATAGCTTGCAGACCATCAATCTGTCTGTATTTTAGAATACCGATGGGCAAATAATTACCAGCAACAAAACCTACTGAATTCTTGCTTTTAAACATTGCTACCTTTATACATTAAACAGCCTTCTGGATTACTACCCCATCATCTCTGAATGCTGGACATGCTGGCTAAAGCTGAAATGAGTTGCACAGTGTATCTACAGCACACAATCATAGCACTTCAATACCATTTGAACAACCCTAATTCCACACTACTTAATTCTGGCATTTGTAGTTGGGTGAGGTGCTTTTGTTCAGCCACCTCTGCCAGGGGATATGAAGTACCTTACCAAATGACAAGTTTCGAGTTCTGTAGGAAAGAGGCATCACAGCTGATACAGCAATGCAGTATCCCCCAATCTGTGGAAAGGCAATGGTTTGAAGACAGCTACACTTAAGGGTGTAGGATCTGTTTCCTTTCTCTGGTTAATATGTTTTTGTGTACCAGCAATTTGCTCAAATTAAAAAAAAAACACAGTTTAAAAGATGTAAATTCTCAATCAAAGCAGGGAAGAATCTTTTAGAACTTACAATTCCAACTGCTTGGAAAAGCAAACCATCTTGCTCCATCTTTCGTTTCCTCTGAATATTGTGCAGAGCAATTATCTTTGGACTGATTTCTTCATTTGATGAAGGTGGTTTACTGAGGGGGGAAAAGATTTACACAATTAACTCTAACTCCCTTGCACCAACCATCTTATGTTAAAACCAAGTGCACGTGTTTCATGGTATAGGTAGAAATGAATTCCCCATAGGTCTGTTGTCTGTACAAATACGATCTCACCAGAGTGTATGCACACAGAACACTAGAAGGTGTGAAGCAGCACAAGTATTCATCATAGTTATCACTGAATATTATGTACCACCTCAACTATACCCCAGGTAAAATGAAAACAGGTAACACAAGCTGCAGCTGCTGTATCAATTACTGGACTGTACCATCTCAGGCTGCAGGTGGTACAATCAAAGGTTTAAAAGGTTCCCCACACAGAAAATTGAGATGGCTAGTAGACATGAGATTTCCTGTTTTTTCCCCCACTACAACTATCACAGTTCACCAAGAATCCTCCTACGTATAATTCTGGCGCCTGTAGCCAAACATCCAAGTCCTCCAAGTTGTTTCTGCACACACAGTTAAGGCCAAATATGTTCTTCTTTGCAGCCTCTCTGCTCATCAGGGTCTGTACACGGTCACTCTAACAAAAAACTACCAGTCCCACAAACTCTTGTCATTCCCATGGAACTTAGCAAGTACAACCCATTCTCTCCCTCTGCAATGGCTCTAGAGAAGAACACACTTGGTCTCAGGTCTATGTGCTGAAATTCCTCTGGGGATTTGTATTTTTTGACTACAGCTGCCAGAATTCTGGCTGGGGGAATTCCTGATGAACTGTGATAGTTGTAATGGAAAAAGATCCAAAAGTCCCATGCCTAATTTGGGGAGAAGGAAAAGCAATACAGATGGATAACAATCAAACAAGGCCTCTGTTTCTCTATTTCAGCTTCAAAATTGCACTCTCTTTCAGAATTCCTGGGTAGAGATTCACACCTGTACCTTTGGGGCAAGGTACTATCAGTAACAGAAACTTGTATTTTTACGCAAGCACAAATGTAATCACAGCACTTTCAGGGCTATACAGTATTAACACAGGCTGAAATCCTATTTATGTAACATGCACCACATAAGGCAGATGAAATCATCATTATCAGTGACTGAAATGAAACATTCCTAGCCTCTCCCATGAAGGTCCTAAGGATCCTGTGTGATCCTCTTCATCATTGGCAGTACACCTCTGCCAGGATGACATTACTGGCAGCAGTGATTTTTGGTAATTAAAAAGTTATCCTCTCCTGTCCCACAGTTTCCACAGACGAAAGAGATTACTCAGGAGCCTCAGAACAAAAGTCAGAAATGCTTTATTTTTTTAAAAAACTGCCACTGCTGATCACATCATCAACCTTATGTGAATAGGATTACAGTGGTGCCCCGCATAGCGACGATAATCCATGCAGCCAAAATCGTCGCTATACGGATTCGTCGCTATGCAAAATAAAAACGCCCATAGGAATGCATTAAAACCTGTTTAATGCGTTCCTATGGGCAAAAAAAAATTACCTTTATGCGAAAATCCTCCATACGGCCGCCATTTTCGCTGCCCGGTAAGCGAGGAATGGGCATGAAAACACAGTGGGCGGTCATTTTTTTACCCGGCGGCCATTTTGGAACCGCCGATCAGCTGTTGGGAAAACATCGTTATGCGAAAATCGATAAGTGAAACAGCTTACCGATCATCGCAAAGTGTTATTTTTCAATTAGAAACATCATTATGCGATCGCAAAAACGATTGCAAAAAATCCATCACTATGCGGATTTGTCGTTAAACGAGGCACCCTTTAAGCGACGCACCACTGTACATAAAACAACCAATATGGAACCTCAATCTAGTCACATGTAATAAGCATAATGTTCCACTGATTCACCAGGAGATTGATAGGTATCAGATCAACTACTATGACACATGCACATGATTCAAACAAGAGACTAAAACAAGTGGCTCACAAACCTGGGTAACCCGGTGTTCTTGGACTGCAACTTCCAGAAACCTCAGCCAGCACAGCTAGTGGTAAAGGCTTCTGGGAGTTGCAATCCAAGACCACCTGAGTTACCCAAGGTTGAGAACCACTAGACTGGAACCAGGTCATGTGATTATTTTAGAGAGAACAACTGTGAAAATCAAACCCTTTCCCCCAACCTAAAATTTAAAAAAAAGGAGAGAGAGAGAGACTCATGTCCTCTAACACCTACTCTACATTCCTTCTAAGATGGCCTATGAAATTTTCTACTGCAGTCACATTTCGAATCAACGTTACACTAGAAGTCTATTGCTGGTCAGTTATGTTAAATCTGATAATTTAATTCACACTGATGCAGGAGTCAAACACTTAAAAGCATCTGAAAATAGTTATTGTTGTGTAAATTGTTTGTTGTAAAAGTAACTTGTAACTAATAGTTTTCTAGGTATGGGAGATGTTCCAAGAAGTGGTTTACCACTGCGGTCCCCATTTGCCCCAAGGATCTCCATGACCAAGCCCGGATTTGAATCCAGATCTCCCATATCCTAGTCTGACACTCTATCCACTAGATCGCACTGGCTCTCATCTGGAAACTCGAACAAGCATGGTGGAAAACGTTGCTTCACCAGTCCTTCTTCAAGTAAGACAAAAGCTCCTCCTAAAACCTAGCCTGGCATCTTGGGATATGGAGGACAGAAGACTTGCATTAACCTAGTGCTGAGTCATCTACCCTTCCGTGATGTTTGTTGATTCTAGAAGAGAGGGCGAACACATATCCAGGTGAGCCTGTCTTCCTCAATAAATCCCTGGGTTATACAAAACAAAATGTAAGATTTGCAAAATTGTGCAACTTTCATGGGCTACTTATTAATCATGGTTAGCATTCGTATATGAGCAAAGATGATTAATACCAACAGGAATGGAAATAAAGAATTTATTCTGGAGTGGCAACAGGCAATGCACGGTAATCTCTCTCCCAATGTGCAGACCATGGTTCTTAAAAGATAGGTGGCATGTCTCTACAAAACGTATTATCAAGTTGATGGGGCAGGGAAAGAAGAGGCTAGAAGGACTCCACTGAGCTGGCTTTCCATCTGAATGCAGTTGAAATATTAAACAGACAGACACTACACAAGAGTGAGCACTGGCAAACTGATGCAAAAAATACTTTTTTTTGTTCCACCAAATATAAAGTTGGGGAAACTATACTTTTTCTTCATAACAAAGTATGCTGCTTCTATATCACCTCATAGTGCCTAAAGAACTCTCTGGGCTGTTTAAAAGTTAATTATGCATTGCCCCCTCAGCAAGCTAGGTACTCAATTTACTGACCTTGGAAAGCTGAGTGAATCTTGAGACATATATGTTTGTCTCAGTTAGGAAATCTCCCTGAAATGACGCTTAAACAAAATAAAACATCTTCACTTGCATGTGCGGTTGAAACAGTTGAATAATTTGCTCTAAAAGACTGTTTCTGATCAATCTAATCATATTTGTAAAATATTACCCATTTACACTACCAGTTTTTAAGATTTCCTTTAACTGAACCTCACTTTAAGTAACTCAGGGTAAGCTGATGCTCGCTGCTTTGTTCCTTGGTGTATCAACCCACTAAGACCCCTCTTCCAGTAAGGTCACCTTGCTCTTTATTTGAGGTGCTTTTCATACTTAACAGAATGAAGTTCAGCTCAAATCTTCCTATTTGCAAACTACAGTGCCACAAAAAGGTAAGCCCAGCAAGCCATTTATTTATAATGTCATTAGTCTCTATTACTGTTAAAGGCCTCCCAAACCTGGTGTCATGGAAATGTTTCACAATGCTCTGTGATACATGTCTCAAATGTACAAAACTGTGAATAAGAACACTGTTGTAGTCCTTCTATGGCCCACAGATAGCATTTACTATGTGTCACATTATTCACAATTAACCAAGGCATACCATTCTAATTATAAAGATAAAGATTCAGAGAAACTGTAGGCCAGACTGATAACAGGTTTTATATAACATCATTCAGAAAAGTCAGACCAACACATCAATCAAACATGTCTCTATCCATATTACATATACTTGGAGCATGGATAGAGTTATATTTATTTGCCATCCACCCTCATGGTAACCACCTGCTGGGGGGTTCACAACACAAAACAGACAAGGAGAGTTTGAGTGTATGACTCCAAGATGAATTAAAGTCTCTGTACCGCACTCTGAAATTCAGAAAAATTGTTCTGAGTCTTACAATAAACAGATGGAAGACTTTAAGAAAACCCTAAAAAAAATATGACCTGGACCTAGAATCGCTAGGTTACAGGCTTCTGGATTTGACAGGCAGATTGAAAAAAGTCCTTGCTTTTTATAAACCTCAGTTCATGGTCTATGAACAAGGAATGACAAATATCTTGCAGGAGCATAAAACATTCTGCACAAGGAAATTAGACATATAAATGTCAAAAGTAAGCATGACCCAAGCTCATTTTGTGGACCTAAGTCCACAAAAATCAGCTCAGTCAAAAAGCTCGCTATGATTCCTGTACAGACGTTGGAACACACAAAACAATTAATTGCTCCCCCCCCCCTTTGTAAATCTATTTGTTCAGTGACTGGTTTTAAGACCAAATGGAAACAGCATCTCATTGTTTTTGATTTTGATGTGTTTTTAAAAATCTACCTTTTACCCAACGTGACTGTTAACAAGTTCGGCGTCCCCAGGCTTGGCTTCTCTTTTTGCTCTATCGTGCCTTCTCCCGGCCTGACTGGTGACAGAGTCCGACTTGGATGCTCCGTGTAGGGAGAGGTTGGGGCACTGGTGCTTTCGAGAGGGGCAATGTGAAGAGGAGCTATGAGGATCTTCGATTCATTCTCATGTTTGATTGTCATGGGCTTTGTCTTGTCTGTGGCAGGCGATGGCATCGGAGGGGGCTGAAATCCGGTGACCCCACTGGAACCTTTGGCCCCAGTGGAGGGAGAATTGGTCTCCAGTGGAGAAAGCTGGTCAAAGGAGCGTAACTGGAAATCATCATCCATAGGGATGTACGGCGCCAGCATTTCCAAATCTAAATCCGTTTCCTGAAATTTAAAAACAGGGGTATGTAATTGCGGACTGAGACAGGGGAAAATCAAGACGACAATGATGGCCCGTTTGTTATTAGAGTTGATATCCATAAGATATGAGGCTTTACAAACATGTTTTTCCCCCCAAAGGCCTGTGCAGGAGCCCCAATGAAATGACTGGAGGACAGTGAGAAATGAAGCAGATCTGAGTTACTATATGCGTGCACTCAGATTACAATGGTTCTGCTATTATTTTTACACAGTTATGGGCCACTCTAAGAGCTGCAGGGAGGGTATGCTCTTCAAGGTGAACAACAAGCAACCCATCAGCCACCTTCAGTGAGCATCACTGGAAGCAGACAGCTCTGAGTCAAATCTCAGCCATGTTTTAAAACCACCCATTCTTTCTTTCTTCTTCTTTTTTAAAAGGCAGATAGGATGCACAGATGACACAAGCAAATACCTGGGGAAGCAACAGTGCACCCACTGAGAGTTGTAGCATGCATACTTCTGGACCACAAACACAGCATTTTATTCCCCTCGCCTTCATCCAAAATGTAATAATGAAATAAGTGTCAACACAGAGACACATGGCCTTGAACACTAGAGTCAGCAGCATACATAGCAGTGTTCAAAATAACGTGGTAAACCCTTTGCCAGAGACTAAACTCCACATGCAGTATTTTAGCTAAGGTGCTCACCTGCATCGAGAAAGGGTTTTTCAACTCTGGGTCTATTGCAAAGAGCTTTTCTACAAGCTCCAACTTGAACTCGCTGGCCATCTCATTATCCACATCAAAGCAATAGTCACTGGGAGGACTATTCGGCTGTAAAAATAATCCACATCTATATTCAGTACTAAGACAAAACATCATCCACCCAAATGTAATTAACTTGATTTCCTGCAACAGAAATAAGCAGTCCATATTCCTCTATTTCCCCCAAAGGGTATGTGTTAAACAGTTCCTTGCTGTTTGTATGAGAAGCAAAAGTAGTACTAAACTAAATTGGCTTCTTAAAGCTCAAATATTCGGTTTGGTAAAAATATTTTCAAAATTTAAAGACACATGTAGAAAAAAAACTAAACCAAAATACCAGTTAGCATCCCCTGTCTTTTTATGAAATACAAGAAAGTCATTTAGGAAAACTTGCCACTTGGCTGTTGGCCAAGCAGGATATTCAGCTGTCAGATGTAGACAATTCTTAATGCTTATTAACCCACCAACTTGCATGCTTCAAAGAAAAAAAGGCGGTATCAACTGAGCCCTTCTGAATTGTATTCATATTTCACTTCCATGTTGATCCAAAACAGTAAAAACTGGTGTTACGCCCTTCAACTAGAACCGTACTTTATAAACAATTACGGGAGAAACATGGATGTGTTTAGAGCAAACCCCCCAATCAGCATGAAGCTCATTAAAATAAGACTGGTCCAATCTCTGTCTCTTTCTGATCTGCCTCTGACTCACGGGAGGATAAAACAGGGAACTTCCCCAAGAACACTACTCTGGGCTCCTTATATTAAAAAGGCAAGATACAAAGTTGACCAAGATTTAATATTGAAAATAGATATTTTATTTACAAGGCAGGCAACAGATTCAATTGAAAATTACAGGTCTGCAACGGGTTATGAAATGACTGACCTCAGGCGAGCTTTGGCTGGTACTTCTGTCGGAAGGAGTGGCCGGCTGGTCTTGTGTCCGACGGATAGAGAAAGCAAGATCTAAGGGCTCCGTGCTGGGCTCCAGCTTGGATACCACCTCTCTATTGAGTGCTGGGTCAGCATTGCTACGGAGCGGCTTTGTTGCTTCTGAAGCAGGTAGTGGGGACATTGCCAGATTTATACTTTGCAATTTCTCACTGGATGAGGGGAGCATTACATCATTATACAAAGGAACGTCATCAAACTGTTGCTCATCAGTCTCTACAAAAATTAAAAGAAATCATCAGCCTAAGTGAGAAGTGTTGTGTTGCATCTCACGGGGCTTACTGAAACACATCAGACACCAAGAGCTTCTGGCCAAACATGCAACTTGTTTTAACATACTTTATAGCTAACTTTATTCATCAGGAGGTTCTTTGAACTAAACAGACACCCACCATCACTGCCGAAATCTAATGCTATTATGGTGTCACCAGCTGCAGGGGCAAGGTAGGTTAATGCATCTGGCTCCTTCTTCAGCTTCTCGAAGAGGCTGTTGCTATCTTCCACCTCAGTCTTGTCAAGCACTTTGATCACTCCCATTTCAGGAGAATCCACCGGTTTCAACATACACTCAGTTTGCTGGAGCGAAAATATCAAGTCCCCCTGAACAATGCCACTGTAGAGGAGCAGAGAGGGAAATGTTAGGGAGTCACTTACGGATGGCCATTCTATGAGACAACAGGGAGTTTCAACAACTTTGAAGCTTCTTGAAAACCTTTTTCTGCAAAGCAACCCTTGAGCACATGCCACAGAAGTCTGAGTGCTGCAGAGTTTCAGGACACCGAGAGCTTCTGGCCAAACATGCAACTTGTTTTAACATACTTTTATAGCTAACTTTATTCATCAGGAGATTCTCTGAACTAAACACACACACACCATCCCTGGAGTGCATATTCAGATCACATGAGGCCTTAACATTAGATAATCCTATAGAACATATGGTGATGCATTAAAAGGAATGAGAGCTGGACAATGTCACACAAGAAAGTGCTCTGCCATTACTCATATTCTCACTAAGGAATTTGTGGGCTCTCCAGAACGCAGTTTGAAGCCTGAAACTGGTGCTTAACAGATACATAAAAGAGACTGGGCTGCACACACCATTCTGGATTAAGAAGCACAACTTAATATACTAAATACACACTTCTCAACAGTTTGCACTGAACACAGCTGGAAAAAGATTATACTCAATAATCTGGTATGTGTCTATATTTTCTTTCACAGATTTTTTTCAAACTAGGAGATATATTAGTCATTCTTCATAATTTCTGTAATAAAAGAGTCCAGCAGAATTGTATTGTGCTTTTTTAAACGTTCTTTTTACAGAATAACTTGCTCCAGTTAAAGAATATGGCACAAAACACAATGGGTTCTGTTTATTAATGCATATTTTTGTCTCATACTTCTATAGCCTGTTTTCAAGGCTTCCACAAATGCAACTACAGAAGAGGTAAAAAAAAATCTAAAGGTTTATTTTTCAATATAGGTGCAGCACAAGTCAGAATATGCTGTAAATATAAGTTTGTGAAATGTCTGAACACAAGCTTGGAACAAAATTCAAGCTAGGTTTTATATCTCCCTTTGGCTGTCTACCAGTGGATTAGGCTCCATTGGTAGAACAATTCTAGATCACTTCTAAATTCCCCAAATCTGCTCTAGAAGGTGGGAGGACCTTTGTCCGCAAAGCTGAAGGGAAGACTACAAGGAGGCAGAAAGGAAGAGGAAGCTTCTTGCATAAGTAGAGCTCTGTTGAATAATACACATATATCTTAAGGCTTTTTCTAGAGTCAGGCAATAAGTGGGGAAGTAGGCAAGGCCTTATTCATAGGTTGTTATTTCTTAAATCAGTCTTCTTAACAGTTTCCATTTCTGAGCATACTAATATCGGAATGGAAAATACAGATAAGTCATATGTATTTTGCATTCATGCAGTAAATTTTCACTACTTCTCTTACAACAGAACTTTGCTAGCAAATGTAAAAAACTACTGCATAAAAAAAGAGGAAATACCAATAATACAAGTAATCCTGTTCCCACCCCAAAATTCTAGTTACAAGCAAAGCTCACCTCAATACATAATTCACACACACTATGCACTGTGGCTGGGAATTCTTATTGTTGTATATAACAGTTGCTTGAGTCTCAACCCAGACGTAGCCCCCTTGTTTGGCAAGCATTCTGTATTGCCCGGTGGTCACTTGCCCTTTAGCAAACACTGGAAGCAAAAAGAAACCCACATTATTTATACAGTTAGGCAAACTCTGAAGTTGTTTACAATAAATGCATGCATAGTACCATGTTTCCCCGAAAATAAGAGGGTCTTTTAATTTTGGCTCCAAAAAAACCCATTAGGGTTTATTTTCAGGGGATGTTTTATTTTACAGTCATGTCATCTTCTGGTTGCTGCACAAGAGTGGAGGGCGAGGTTTCACTTAATTAGGGCTTTTTGGGGGGGAGGGCTTATATTACAAGCATCCTGAAAAATCATACTAGGGCTTATTTTCAGGTTAGGTCTTATTTTCGGGGAAACAGGGTATTAAGCATGGACTTCAATGGCAGTTTGCAATTCCCTCACTCCAACTTACTGTCATGATGTGTTTTGGTAAGATGATCAGAGTCCAGGGCGTGATAGTATTCATATATGGAGCGACCCAGGAGTTCATCAGGATCATACCCAATCAGTTCTGTAATCCTTTGGGCAAAAGGAGAAAAGGTTATTAATGCCTTGTCGTTTGGTCATTTAGTCGTGTCCGACTCTTCGTAACCCCATGAACCAGAGCACGCCAGGCCCTCCTATCCTCCACTGCCTCCCGTAGTTGTGTCAATTTCATGTTGGTTGCTTCGCAGACACTGTCCAGCCATCTCATCCTCTGTCGTCCCCTTCTCCTCTTGCCGTCACACTTTCCTAACATCAAGGTCTTTTCCAAGGAGTCTTCTCCTTGGAAATGCCTACCAGTTGTAATATTACAAAACAAGATTTTTGGCAGATGTTATAAGGAGAATGAGAGCTATTGCAGTGCATCAATTATTACATCAAAAACACACAGTTGTTCCAACAATATTATGAACTGAATGGCCTGTATCTAGTGGAATACGAATGTGAATCAAGGCCACTTTCTCTACTGAATTAGCACTTTCTGTAATCAGTTCCTTTAAGAATGGGAGGGGAACACGATTTCTGTACTCATCTGTTGAAACACTGCTATCCAATCTGTTCAATATACCCATACTTGACTCATACACTGGTTATATCTCCTTGCTGTTGTTACATGTCATCAAGTTGCCTCCAACTTATGATGATCCTGTGAATGAGTGATCTACAAAATCTGCTGTCCTCTGTAGACCCACTCAGTGCCTGAAAACTAAAGGCCACAGCTTCCTTTATAGAGACAAACCATCTCAAATTCAGTTTTCCTCTTTTTCTGCTGCCTTCCAATTTCCCAGCATTACTGTCTTTTCCAGAGAATTCTGACTTCTCACGATGTGCCCAAATTTAGACAGCCTCAGTTTCAATATTTTTGCCTCTAGAGGAACACACTTGTATTTCTTTCAATTATTATTTCCATGTTTATACCACCCCATAATTATTATCAAGTTGTGCAAAACCCTCTATAACTGTAACTCTAAAACCTACTTTGTCACTAACCCAACTTTATAATTGTTAGAGTATTTTAGTGTGTTGTGAATTTAAAAAGGCTAATACTTCTAACCTGTCTTCAGGCAGTATTTAAATAGGAAGACTTGTCTTGGACCAGGCCAAGTGCAACCTATTCTGTTCCGATAGTGGCCATTTAGAATCGTATGGCAAATCCACAAGAAGGACATGAGATTAACAAGCACTATCCCACCCAAGAACCACATAAAATGAGTTTAGTATTCAGGGCATGAGTCAGTTTTGTTCTAAACTAAGCATTCACTATTAGAAGTGACATTTTTCGGCCACTGGCTCTAATCTTAATTCTTTCAGCCACCTGATGGCAGTATCATGCCACAAAAAGATCATTCACATCCAGGAGCAATGTTTTGCCTAGCCCTGCACCTAGGTGAAATATTCTCTGTGTTGTGATATAGTAATATTTCTTTCAGTTACTACCGATCATGAAACAGAAAAACCAAAATTTAAGATGCAATGTTCACATAATATGGAATGCGTTTTGTAACATGAACTTTCATATTCTAAAGTTATAAACCTTAAGGGTACACATACATTCTCATTAGCAATCAAGTTACTGAATTCTTGGTCCTCACTACCTCAAATCCAAGGAAAAAAGAATGCCAGAATTGGAGAGTATGTGCCAGGTTAGAAAATGCATGTAAATCCACTATTGTTACCGAGAAAGGATCCACTGCTCCAAAGCACTGCTCAATTCCATTCCCTACTCCCAAACCTTTACCTTTCATCACAGTACGAAAACTTCATGTCAAGGCTGTGGCGGCTGAGGAACGTCTTGCTGTCCAAAGGGACTTCAATGTTTGATGGATGAGGGATAGGCTCACAGATCAACACCAAACATGTCATTGGAGGCTTTTTATATCCACACACAGTCTGACTGTTGCAACTGTCGTAGACACGAATGTGTCCGGTGCAATGAAGTACCTGTGCACAACATGGACAAAAAAAGAAATAAAGAAAAGGAAAGGAAAGGGGGGGGAAAGAAAGAAAGGCTGGTCATTATTTATCTGCTTATTTGCTTAGAAGTGCTTACAGGTCAATAAACAAATCACAACCAAAGGGACACACAACCCAAAAGAAAAAGAGGAACTGAGAGAAGAGTTTAAAATCAATTCCTTCCTTCTTTCCTTCCTTCCTCCCTCCCTCCCTCTCTGGCCTTATGAACTGGTTGCTGGAAGGAGAGTTCCATGGAGCAACGTCTCTCAGAACTTAGGCAAAGACCCTGTTTCCCTTCTTTTCCTTTCCTTTCCCAGACTCTCCCACAACAGTAGCAACCATTATACAGCCCAGTAGATTTAAAACAAAACTACCAGAGAATTTATGCACCTATGTACATAGTACTATGGTGTGGGCTCAGTGGCACACATGCCAAGTGCAAACTTAACATGACACATTCTTGCAAAGAAGAAATTCTTATATAAGTTGGAAGTCATACAAACAGCTTCTGACAGTTTATGGCACAAGGATAGGAAATTAGTTATCAAAAGAGGATAATATGTTTTAAATCGGTTCAAATCTCTGAGAGTGGTGCAAGCTAAAGGTACACAGCAGCCAAATATCTCAACTTGCAAGGGACAAGGAACTTCACATCCTGAGAGAATGCTTTTATTAAAAACTATGCCAAAAGAGTAAAAACCAACTGACTATTGAGCACAAGATGTATCTAAGCAGCAGCAAAAACCCCAGTTGCAACATTCATTCAGTTTTCTCCTGTACTGAAATACTATTAGATGCTCTGCTCCAGGAAGGCTCATTTGATTATGGACAACTAAAATTCTAATAAATCTGAACACAAACATTTTACTTTAAAAGATACTGTTCTCAGAGCACACTATGATTACCTTCCATGTGGCAGACTTTATATTGACGGTCCTTCCCCTACTGGTCAATGTACACTTCATTCTAAGGAAAAAGCTGCGTTCTGTATTCTGTTCTTTCCCCTTTTTTACAGGACCTGATGCAAGGGAGAAAAACATTAGCAGTGTCTATTACTGATCTCAAAAGATAGCAAGGGAAATACATGGACAGCGGACATTATAACATTATTTTAAGCTTTGTTTTCCACCTATACCGTCTGGAAGAACTATGTAACAAAAAACAGTAACACTGACTATATGGAACAGTAAACCAGGATCCTGCAGAATTCTTTTTGGCTTACAAACTCTGGCTTGTAAAGGGAGAAAGAAAAAAAAAGGAGATATAAGTAATTCTGTGGCACCTTGAAGACAAATTGCATCCACCTTCTTCAGATGAAGGACTCGTACTTTAAAGCAGTGGTTCCCAATCTTGGGACCCCAGATGTTATTGGATTACAACTCCCAGCACAGCTAGGGAAGGCTTCTGGGAGTTTTAGTCCAAGAACATCAGGGGACCCAAGGTTGGGACCAACTCGTTTAAAGTGCTACATGACTCTTTGTTTTTGCCATAACAGACTTAACACATCCATGTCACAAAGAAATAAGCATGGATCCAGGCCAGTATTTGGATTTCTATTTAGCTTAGCCACTCCCACTGGAGGGATGTACCTAACGGAAGTCAACAAAAGTATAGAACAGCATGCAGCTTGTTCACAGAAAGCCACTGATCAGTCTAACAAGTGTGGCTGTTACAATAGTGACCATTACTATTCCACCTTCAAAGATGCTGTAATTAACTTAGAAGCAAGGTATATAATGAGATACACAATTTCTTATATTTACTTCAAAGTCAGAGTATGGAACATAACTACTTTTAACTCAATTCGAGGGGGGAGCAAGGAAGGTAGAATAAAGTTACATTTCAAAAGTAAAGTTGCAAGTAGAAGTTATACTACTTTACTTGGCGTTTGAAAAGCAATGAACTTTGAAAAGTGCACTTTTGTACATCCTTTATGTATTCTGAAAGGAACATGTTTTCAAACCTAAAATGTGTGTATGAACTTCCTTCCTTCCTCCCTCCCTCCCCTTTTTTTTTAAACATTGGGGAGGCAGCAGAGTTAACTCATGCTGTGAGCTAGCTGCCTTGACTCTGTTTGCCCCTATTAACCTATTACAAGTACTAAGCAGGCAGATGAGTAAAAAAGAACCATCTGGCATGAAAGCAAAAGCCACAGCATTTCTGCCTTACCATTCCGGTGGGTGAGCATCTCTCTCAGCTCTTCGTGGTCACATGGATGAGTGAAATCAAACACACTGTGTCCAGTGAGTTCAAACTGAAAAAGAAAGAGAAAGCTTAGTCTAGTGCATTAGGTTCACAGTAGGTAAGCACTTGACATAATCACACTCAGGATTTTTAAGCCAGTGGGAATTTGGCTGCATGGAAACCCCCGGATTACAGCCAAATCAGTGGAATGGATCATCCATTTCATACCTGTGTGAGTCCCATACACTTGTTCACATTTTCAGACATGTAGATCATGTCGCCATCCTCAGAGAGAACCATGACAAATCCATCAAGAGCTTTTAAATAAAAGCAATTCAGTTGTGTCTCCATTTCTGCTTCTGCTTCCAGATCACCTAGAAGAGTTAATTTGCATTAGACAAACTTGGTATGTCACAGATATTCACCTTTACTGCTTGACCCAAATCCCCATTCTACAAAAATACCATATATCAAAACCAATCAAAAAGAAAAAAAATATGGGAAGTTGGTACTGATCAAGGATAAGAGTTAACAGAACCAACAGAAAAGCTGACTTACTTCTGCAGCTTTTTATATGAAATACTAACTCAGCCTTTCCCATCTGACACCGTTTCAATGTGAGTATAGCCCAGCCTGCATAGGCGCATAGTCAAACATATCTGATGGGCACATTAAGGATTATCATACAACTTGCATGGTAAAGCAAAACTTCCAAATTATACAATCTTCACATTTTTATTCAATTACACCATGAACATTTTCCTTATTCTTTGCTTATCCAGTGCTGCCTCGACTTAACAATGTCCCAACATACAACCATTTCGAGTTACAACCACCTCCAGTCGCAAAATTTTGCTTCTACTTGCAACTGGAACTTCACGTTACAACCAGAAAAGGGCAGGGGGGAAAAGGCAGGGAATTCAAATTGCTAACTGTTGGTGGTCAAGAGGCTGGTTCTTTGTACCTTTTTCACCCCAGCAGTTAGAGGAGGCTTCAGACTGCCTGGTAAGGTGCTGCTTTCTAGTTTTAAAAAACTGTTCTGGGTGTGTTTTGCAGCGTAGTCTTGGTCTGGGTAGTGGGATTATATTTCTATGCTGTGATGGGTCTTGCAGGGTTTGTTTATTTTTTGGTGTCCCCCCCCCAAATTTCTGATGGGTCTTGCAGGGTTTGTTTGCTTTTCTGGGTTTTTCCCCCCTTCGGCCGGAACTGATTAATCACGTTTCTGACAGGTCTTGCAGTGTGGGTTTTTTTTGGGGGGGGTGGTGTAATTTTTTTTCTTCAGCTGAAATGGATCAATTGCATTTCAATGCATTCCTATGGGAAATGGTGCTTTGACTTACGACCATTTCGAGATACGACCAGCGTTCCAGGACCAATTACCGTATTTTTCCCCCCTTCGGCCGGAACTGATTAATCACGTTTCTGACAGGTCTTGCAGTGTGGGTTTTTTTTGGGGGGGGTGGTGTAATTTTTTTTCTTCAGCTGAAATGGATCAATTGCATTTCAATGCATTCCTATGGGAAATGGTGCTTTGACTTACGACCATTTCGAGATACGACCAGCGTTCCAGGACCAATTACCGTATTTTTTTGCTACATAAGACGCACTCCCCCCCCAAAAAAATGTGTCTTATGGAGCGAAGGCAGCAATTTCGTTGCCGCTGGCCCCGTGGGGGGGGAGCGTCGCAAGGGTCCGGGTGAGTCTTCTAGGACCCTTGCGAGGCTCCCACAACCCCCACGGGGCCAGCACTGGTGAAACCGCCAGGTTCCGGGAGTGTGTGGAAGCTTGGGAAGCCTCCAAACACTCCCAGAAGCTGGCGATTTTACCCCCCTGGCCCCGTGGGGAGAGCGTCGCA